TCGTGCAATTATTCCAGTGCGCTTGGTGACCTTAAAGTGGGCATCATGGCAAACCCACATAAAGTTACGTGGTAAGCATGCGTGCAGCTATGCATTCTACCGGTAGCAGCGTACTTTTGCTTAGTATTACACTCATTAGTCGTTTGCTGCCACAATCATGCGTGTGTTTGGTCATTGACTGATTTTTGCCAAGCATATCTCAGTTATGGAAGTTCTTGGTTCATCCAGGTACTTGCAGATTGAGCAGCCAGTACAATATGGCGCATGTTCCACGCGGAATGGCAGCTGTTCAGCACAGTCCTCTGCCATCGGTGTCTCTCCACCGACGTCAGTGCACACACTCACGCTCGCTGACGTCAGGCACCGATGCGCAGCGGATCTGTGTGGCCCGGATGTTGAAGTGGTACGGCACGGACCCGCCTAGCACGTGGTTGATGACGAGCGGGCCGTCCTGCTCGATCACCGGGATCGTCACTGTCGGCAGTGCGCCGCCAGCGCGTCACAGAGTGCATACAGTGCCGACAATAAAGACCTGCCAGCACGCTACAGAGCGAATACTCTGTCAACCAGCACGCATCGGCCGGTAGGCAACACATGTAGGCGCTGTCAGCAATACGCAACGGTCGAAAAGTCACATAGCTACACCGCAAAAACTGCCGGCAGTCTGTGCCGGTAAGCACGTCACAGAGCGTATACAGTGTACATTGCTGGTGACACCCACTGGTCAGCACGTCACAGAGCGTATACAGAGGACATTGCTGGTGACACCCACTGGTCAGCACGTCACAGAGCGTATACAGAGGACATTGCTGGTGACACCCGCCGATCAGCACGTCACAGAGCGTACACAGGGAACATTGCTGGTGACACCCATCGGTCAGCACGCCACAGAGCGCATACAGAGGACATTGCCGGTGACACCCACCGGTCGGCACGTCACAGAACGTATACAGAGGACAGTGCCGGTGACAGCCACCGGTCAGCAGGTTACACGGCGTATACAGGGTACATTGCCGGCGGGCACCCACCTGTCATCACGTTACAGGAGCGTATACAGTGTGCATTGCGGGTGACACCCACTGGCCATTTTGCTTGGGTTGTCAACAAAGATCAAATGTGATTTTATTTTGTGCTACGCACAGCATTTGGGTGAAATTACAGCATTGTTTTGCATCCTGTGATGCAAAGGGAACGCTCGACAACAATTGGCGGATAGTGTACCGGCGGTGCAGTGGTAAGCTTTAGTGTCTGGTAAGCCAGGGGCAAGGCTTTTTATTTCCCGCGCTGCCTGCCCCTCCTAACCGGGTGAGAGGCAGGCGACGCCATATAGGCTCAGAAGCTGAGTGTGTGATAAACCCCAATCACACGGCAAAAATCGGCTTTCACGTTACTTCAGTGTCCCATAGGTACATCAGTAATACGATGCTTTGGAAAACCGTAGCATTTTCACTCACCTGAAGTTCCTTTTAGCATGCCACAGAAAGGCACAGACCTTTCAGATTTCCCGACCAAGTAAGTCAGCTGCGAATCGAGGCACTTCTTCAACACCGGTGTGCTGTAGTTTAAGAAGTCAAGCCTGCGGTAATGAGTCAGTGCATTAAACTCTTCATAGACAATTCTGGCGGAATTGGTACTTGCTTTGTGCTAAATAGCACACCGATATGTAAACCCCATGCCGAAAATGGCTGAATTAGATATAACTGCACGCGGTTATGACGAACACAGCCGTATGGACATTTTTCTATCCTACGGGTGAGGCATAGAGGCCGCCTAAAATTTACGTTACATATTTTGGGGCCAGTTTGACTCATGCTCCTTGGGGAAAAGGTTGGACCCACGCCCCATGGCTGGCAACTATGGCTGGCAATTGCTCCTCGTCAAATTCTATGAATGCTGGTGTCCTGTAAGAACTATGGCTTGCCGTTTCAACAACAAAAATGTATCGAGTGGGATCATCGGCAGGCGATTTTGAGTTCACTTTTGCTATTGTTTCAATAAAGGCATGCTGCCGAAATATCAACCCGTCTATACCTCCATTCTCCTGGTTTTTATCCGGGGAATAAGGCTGTTACTACTGTCTTATCTATACCGTTGTCGGTACCAACTCCGCCACCAGATTTGTCGATACCTTTGCATATTATGCTCTCATGGGCGTCTTTAAGCGTAGGTAGCAACAAAAGCTCGTGCTGCCTGCAGATCCATACGGTATCATTGTTTCATAACGTTTCCCTCGCAGTTAATAAGCATTCGCGAAAATTGGACGGCAGCAAAAATCCAAGTTCATCGAAGTGGAGATGTGGAAGCGGAATCAGGCGCATTGAAAAAACAAGCGGGAGAGCGCAACGCGGCACAGACCCGTAACCCGTAACCAGTAACTGCAACGAGAGACACTCAACAGCTGGCACGCGCACATTCACGCGTGCGTGCGCGTACATTACCGACTGTATGCCGCACGAGATTGCGGATTACATGCTCCAACGTCGCTGAAGGAACTCGGCATACTTTGAACTTTGCATGGCACTGAAAGCTGGCGCGTGGAGATTCAGACCCTCAGAAACGAACGAACGGTGCGAGGATGATGGCGGTGTAATATACCCAGCGATTTGATGTTGGTTGCAAATAACCATCATAATCATTTCTTGCATTCGTCATTCAAGTAAACTTGTCTCGATTCCCGGACTGCAACGACCGAACGCCTATTGACCATTGGGAACCCTGAACAGTCACGAAGGCATGTTGACGACCATTTTCTGACAAACTCACACGGTTGTAACAGCATCTCTTATGACCAAGGCTGGCTGTATATCGTATGAGCACCGTATTCGTGCATACAAAGCAGCCTAATAATGAGCATTTGCTCACCGCACACCGCATATATCCGGCCCGACGGTAACTTGGTAGTTGCAGAGCAGGTTACCGACGTCATCTTCAGGAAAACTTGGATTCCTGTAGTAGGTGAGACGCTCTTTGGTTTCGATGTTGCAGCTGTGTTTAACTGGAAAATGCCGATATTCAGAAATGTATGGCAAACACATATCAAGCTTTACAGCGCACATGAAGTCAGCTAGGTCTGTGACCCCAGCCTAGGCGCGCCCGACAGACGGCCGCAGACTGCTGTCTGTAGAACGGCTGAGCGAACCTCGCCGGGCCGCCCGTACGCCCGCGAGGCCAGCCAACGGCGTCAGGACTTTTGGGTCGCGCTCGCTTCGCCTCACGTAGTAAAAGCGCGGCCGCTGACCGGCGTGGAGGGAAGTATGTTGTTTTGTGGCGAGGCACCCACTAACCACGCCGGATTCACGCGGCGAGCACACGCAGCAGACGGATCGTGGCTACTGGCGTCGGTGCAGGTGAGGGGCACGTCACGTGGCCTCTCCACTTCTCGCGGATGTTTTACATTAATCCTGTGGTGACGCAAGCTATTTGACTCGGTTTGGCACACGCGCTTTTTAGACCCTCGTTGTAACACTTCTTGCCAGCATCTCGGAACGGGAAGGAACCCATGCATGAAGCCTGACTATCAGCTCATCACGTCCATATTGGCTAACACTGGCGGATTAGTTGCCCAGCTAAGGGAAAGCGAGGCGACAATTTGTCTAATTTGTGTTGAGCTACTAGCTTGCAAGAGATGCGATTCTGATGGACAATAGACCGCTGTCTGGTTAAAAAGTTCTCGTCCCGTGTGTGTTGCGACTCATGTCCTTTTTGTAGATTTATCGTGGGTCTTTTTACGCTTTCTTTGTTTCTGCGTCTGTTCGCGAACGTGCGTGCAGCAGTTTGCCTGTTTCGTGTATTAAATGTCCTCATAACGAGATGACTGATGTAATACGCAAAATAAAAAGGGGCATAACTAGGCTCCACGGCCTTAAACACATTCGTATCGGTGTATCACTAGCGGAGGTGAAAAGACAATGACCCTTCACTTTTCGCTTTAGTTTGATATCAAATTGCGGCACATGGAAAAATTGGATGGCTTCAAAAGCGGATTTTGCAACGCCTGCTATCCTTTATAACGTCCCTATGCTATTCGTCCAATTATGCGCGAAAGAATAAAGAGGGGGGGGGGGGCAAGGCTGTGTCTAACGCCTGATCATTGCTGTCACCGTGTTGGAAGAACCACAGCTGGATGCCCTGGATGCCTTGAATATCGCTGTGTAAATATGATTGACTCAACGATGCTGAAAAAGTGCAAGGAACGCGAACACCTACCCTCTGTGCAATGCCTGATGTACGTGTTTGAGTCATAATTTCCAGGAAACAGCCTCCAGCCCACTTCTTTTCCCAACCGCATGTTACGCCACACATAGCGTGCGCGGTCATCCGTTATGTGTAGCGAAATGCAGCCGGTCGCGTCAGGCGCTTCCCGTCATAAGACCATTCAACTCAGCACGTGGTGCGCCGCTCGAGCCGCACGCGTGCCCGCTTCTGCAGACTTTGTGTGTGCCAGCAGGACTACTCGCACCACTACCCACGCTCATTGTAACCGGTATGCCACTGGCCATGTGGGTGCAGCGTCAGTAAGGGTCTAGGTATGAAGGCAGGCGCGCTGTGCACCCCGCCAAACCGCCGAGGCATTACATCCTGGCGGGTTTGTGATGCAGGTAAGAGCACTGGTCATTCGCGGTGATTGGTGATGAGCCCCACCACAAGTCATGCACTGCACATTTTGGGCTATTTGACACCTAAACGTAGGATATGGCACTGCTTGTCTTTTTCTTCAAGCTAAAACATGGTAGAAATAATCAAAAGCTGTCAAAAGCACCTCAGCATTAGTCAAGAGCGGGAGGTCAAGCCGCCCCGGCCAGCAGGCATTGCGCTATGATCCGCCAGGGTGCGGGTGACCTGAAGGCTGCCGTGTCGGTAGGCCACCACTCACAGACGCAGCAGACGCCGCGCTCGTCGGCGCAGATGCTGCTGTAGGTGCCGCCGCGCAGGTAGCATCCAACGGCGGCGTGGCACACTCCCCGCTCGCCGTTAGGGGCCAGGCAGATGGGCTGGCTGTACAGCAAGGCCGGCGGCGGCAGCACTGTCGGAAGGAGGCGCCCGGTCAGACGGGCGGGCGCGACCGCCGAGCAGCTGGCTGCGGTCGCAGGACAAAGGATCGCAAAAGGTCCGAGGACAGGCAGTCACCAGTTCGGGTTCGAGGCAGCGCGTTTAAAAGAGTGTGAGCTGCAGATAAGCGCGGCCTTGGACGCACCATCAGAAACCTGCTCTCAGCACACTGGTCAGCTGTACTTGCATGAGTTATGTTAAACAGGAAGTCACGTATAGCCCATCGTGATGGCTGCTGACGTAGCAGACGAGCGTGCATGCTGTCACCGTTGTGCACCGTCGTCACACGCCGTCACCAGCACCGTCACACGCCGCCCGATGGTTGTGACTCGAAGGTCGCAATGTGAACGGCTTAGTAGTCTTACCCAGCCACATGGCGGGGAATCAAGCCGACCACCAGCTTGTCCGAATGTCCGAATGTCTGACACTGTCACGCCTGCTGCACAGTCACGGCTCCTGTCACACTTGCTGCACAGCCACGGCTCCTGTCACGCCTGCTGCACAGTCACGGCTCCTGTCACGCCTGATGTCTCCAGAGGCGCCCAGAGACTCCAGCGCCAGATGTCTCCAGAGGCGCCTTGAGACTCCAGCGCCAGATGTCTCCAGGGGCGCCCAGAGACTCCAGCGCCAGATGTCTCCAGAGGCGCCCAGAGACTCCAGCGCCAGATGTCTCCAGAGGCGCCCAGAGACTCCAGCGCCAGATGTCTCCAGAGGCGCCCAGCTCTGTTCTGCGCGCCGGCGCGCCAAACTCGTCGCGGACCTCACCTGGCAGCGGCGAGTTAAACACGCCGAGCGTGGGGACGGCAGCGTTCTGAGCGCCGGCCGGCGGCGGGCTGGGCGCCTCCTTCTGCTCCTCCGGCGGCTCGCTCGGCTGCTGGCCGCTGCCCTCCTCCTCGCTTAGCTCGTCACTGCCCCTTTCAACCGTCTCGGCGTCCAGGGTGCCCTCCATTCGTGCGTACAGCGGCGTCGTCACTGCTGCCGGGGACGTTTAGGTGCGGTGAACGTGCGGGGCTGAGAGGGGGCGTTCGGGTCAGCGTGCAGGGGTGTTGCGTGAAGCTGGCGTGAAGGAAAATCTACAGCTAACGTGGTAAGCCGATCGTGCGAACAGTCTGCGAGCAATGTCTGCGATTTGCGTCTGGGCATAGCATATATGTGGTGGCAGGGTAGGTAGATGTAAATAGATAAGTTGTACGCATTCTCTTCTAGCACTTAGCTGACGCAAGTTTCCGACCCAGGTCAAATTCGAGATCCTGCCCTTTTCAGTCCACCACTTGTCTCATATTATCGAAGTTCTGTTACCATGTGACCAAACATCCAAAACGAAAGAATGACGGACAACTTAAGGAAAGAACGATAGTTTGAACGATATCGTCAGATAAATTGACATGCATGCGGAAATGCAATGATGTCACAAAACAAAAAGCATGCGTGAACATTTCCATATCATAGATTAGTCGGACGCTATCCTTTGCCGAATAGAATCCATGATCAACTCACGAGGAATCACGAAGTCGCTCCGTGCAAGGAGTAGAAGTCATCACCAATCACCCACAGTGCGTCTACCTCAAAACATCGTACCTCATTTCTCATTAGACGCAGTTGCTGGCCCTGCGAAGAAACCACCCCTTCCTTCGCACTTCATGCACACCGCTCCGAGACCACCATTATAGCGGCAAACGGTACCGAGTGGCTGTGGTATGGGGCCGAGTTGCACAACTGGTGCACTCTCCCGGGAGAGGGGAGGGGTGAGCTAATGCGCGGCCGGTCCAACGACCCGGGCAGAAGCGCCCGGCCTGAGCGGCACGTGACGCCGCGGCGGCCGGCCGGGCCGCCCGTCGGCTGGAGATCACGGCCAGCCACTTGGCGGCCTTGCGGCCGGCCAGCCGAACACGTCGGGCCAATATCCAGCGATGAGTGCGGGCAGACGGGCGGCGTCCCCTCTCCCCCAAGCGGACAGACGGGAGGCACCTCTCCGGTGGCGGTGTCTTCTCGCGGCGCCATAACCCGAGGTCACAGTGTCAGTAGCATCAAACGGCTTCTCATGACGGCTTCGAGATAACGATGGAGTGCCATCGCAGGGGTTGTCATGACAAGCAAGAGTCGTCACGATTTTCTTTGAGTTATACCATGCCGATCCAACCATTCGCGCGCTCGAAAAAGAGGCGCGGACGGTGATAAAAAGAACAAAGGCCAATGTCAAGGTTCATCGACACAATGCCGCTGGTGGTACCGGTTCTGCGACGCGAGAGGCCGGCAGCGCTGTCCGTCGATGACGGAGGCAAGCTGCGCATACTAGTGGTGGGCTTGCACGCAACCGTTTAGTCATCATTAGTTACACTTCTTGGCAGGTGTTTGAAGCGATGTCTCAGAGACTGACTGAACGGCAAATAAACCTCCGCCAGTCACTTACTAAAAGCGGTGAGGCAAATAATGTACATGTGCACATTCCCGCATATCCTCCTCGTCCCTTGGTGTGCATGAATGAGCGTGGTATGATTTAGGGATCTGTTTTCGCACAGATGTATCAACAGTTAACATAAGTAGATGATCGCCACCGCAGCCGGCGCGCCAACAACATATGCCGCGGTAAACGCGTGAAAGTCTCAGCGGCAGGGTCTTTAAACTCATGCCAACGAAGGAGGCATTCAGCACTGCGTTAGGTCCAGGAAGAGAAGGCTGCGGTACCGAGCGAGGCGCACGAATCGCAGCGATGATCGGTTCAAAATGATGGCTTCGATGAGCGCCGAGCGGCGAACACATTGGTTCAATGCACGGGAGCTGGCAGGCAGGCCTGAACACACCGACTTCAGAGCGAATGCAAATGTTTGAACATCTGAACGGACATTTGAAGACATTGAAGCGATGCATCGACCGCATTTATTCAAGCATTGCTCAGCATTCACCCGATGAAGTTTGGTGCCCATCACATGAAAGACTCCGCTGGATCCATCTGCCAGTGACTTGGCCATTACATCAGCATGGCCTGCATTGCCCATTAAATGGAAAGTAATGGAAGCTTTGCATGTATGGGTCAGAAAGTTAATTGCAACGGCATACAGCTTAACACAGGAGTGGCTTGAGATACGGGCTTTGCTACAAGCAAACACCAAAACAATGCAAGGCCGTTTATAATCCTGTCCGCTTTAGCCCAGCGGTTACCTAAAGCTTGTCTGACACCAAATAGCACAGATAAAGGCCGTTATCTGCGACATGAGCTGGTACACTTCGTCGCAGCTTACAGCATGCCAACGGGCTGAACTTGGAAGCCAGCTGCGCGGCCGTCATTTTTTCTCTTCTTGTATGCATTCAAGAGCAAATAAAACAGCATTTCGATGGCATAACTTTCATATGGCGTATTGTCGTCACAGCTATCCAGCGGAAAAGCATGATAACGGCAAGTGACGTCAGCCTACTGGGCCAGCTGCTCCAGCCTCGTGATTCCCAGATTCGCTGCTGTTAGTTTCTGAGCTCACAAAAACGGTCGAGTTGGCCACAAAGCGTGAAATGTCTGCCAAAGGTGAACATTTTTGCCAAAGGTGGGCAAAGGAGACGTCACTGTTGATGCCGTTCGAACATGCGACTCCCATGATAAAATACAAGGGCTGTGGGTATAGCTCTGACTCCTTAAAGCGATCGACACAATGTCATTGATCAGATGAAATCATCAGATCAGTATGCTTATGTAACGGGCTTTGTCTGCGGCGCGTTCGCCGGCTGGTCCTGATAGGGGCGCTGGTAGTCGCTACTCACTGACCCTCGACCACACGTCACGTGTCTGTGCGCCTGTGTCCGACTTCAGGCCCCTACTCTGCTGGCAAACACCCCAGGAAGTTATCTGCAACGTCCTGGGTAGGTCCCCAATAATTAGGGACTTACAGTTGTTGATATGGGGTGCAGCTTTTTAGATGACATGGGAACTTCTCAGAATTGCAAATATTGATATAAAAAACTATACTCTGGAGACTTGGGCGCACCCCTGGTTCATCATTGGGTCCATAAAGCAATGGGCACGATTGGAGTCATTGAGCGTATTCTTGTTCCACTCTTGGGACGCGAGAGGCCACGTGGCCTCGTACCGGTTGGTGCGCTTTCAATTACGCCGCTTACGGCAGGTTTTGCTGCTGTCGCTTAACTACCAAACCTGATTAAAGCTTGATAAGCTGCTGTCAGTCAAATGAATCAGCTGCCAACGCGAATGACGCCTCAACGCCTGCTCGCGGCACGCTCTTCATATCGAGCACGCAGTGCGAGTGGAGAGAACTGCTCCCGTTGTGCTGTGGTGTGCAGTGTGCATTCATTTCAGGCATGCGTGTCGGCAACCGCGAAGTGCAACTCAACACGTGCATTCGCATTGTGAGAGTTTTACAGCCGGCATGGAAATGCTACATGACTCCCCGATATGTGATGCACCCTAAAGAGCAGGCGTATTACGACGTGGTGGGTACTCACGTCTGGTGGCATGCCGCAGCTCTTCCATCACAGCCATGGGGAAGTTTGGCGCTTCTCCAGCTTCATCGAATGTTTTCGTCGGGACGTCGTAGCTGTAGCTGGCAGCGGCTTCCAAAATTACGGAGCTAGAAGAAAAGGAAGAACGTTGAATGCACTTGTCTACAGAGTGGTCTCTTCTTTCGGAACGTGTCCTCATTACAGCGTGTAGGGTGCGTATGCGTAGGAGCAGATATATGGCTAATCTTAAGACTCGGACCAGAAACGTGAGGAAGCCTTTTGAGCTAAGTCATCACCATTGTGGTGATAGGCCAGCGACTTTAAGTCTCCACGATATGTATGTACGCGGTGACCAGCACTGCAATGCTGTGGGGCATCACTTGAGCCGCTTAGTTCATACGCGTCATTGAGACATCCCACTGGGCGTGCGATTACCGAACTCACACTGCTGGCATTTACGGTATAAGTCTTTATGCATGATTCATTCACCCACGACTCTGTTTCTTTAGTCACAAGAAGGAAATAGATCATATTAAAAAGATATGTGATTGTCATTTATATTTATTTCTGGTTAGGTGGCCAATTTGCGGGGGGCTGTTCCATCCCCAATCGCTTCCCACATTCAAGTCCATGTCCCACGGTAGCATCCTCACATCCTGTTTCTTATTTCCTTCTGTTCCAAATGTCACGGAATTATGACCTAATGCATCATGCATAGCGACTTGTACCAGAATAGCCACATGGGCGCTTGTACGGTAGGTGTGTATGGAAGTAGTACAGATACAAACACGGATCAACGTACTTCACGAATACCACGACCAATTTGCAAGCATACTTCCGCAGAGGCATGGTGCGACAGTGTGAAGCCAAATTAAGTAAACCCGGGCGCTTGGCGTATGCCAATGTCCTTAATGGATTTGTCACATCGCACTTGTGTGAAGCGCACTTCACACAAGCACTTCACTTCACGCAGCGCACACGCAAACTTACAATGGATAACGTTTGCCGAGACACGTGAGGACAGAGGGCCTTGCCCGAACAGAACCATGGGAAGTTGGGCTCTCCTGATTCAAGCAAGATCAGGAGACGGCGGACACCACTTGGGCAAGAGCGGATGATGCTGAGCCTCAGCTCAGCAGGACCGTGGGAAGCTGGATTTACATGATCCAGGTAAAACCAGGGGACAGAGGAGCCCCACACAAGCAGGATCAGGGGGCGAAGGACCCCACCTGAGCAGGACCATGAGGAGCTGGACCTCACCTGAGCAGGACCAGGAGACGCTGGGCCTCACCTGAGTAGGACCAGGAGATGCTGGACCTCACCTGAGTAGGACCAGGAGATGCTGGACCTCACCTGAGTAGGACCAGGACACACCGGACCTTACCTGAGGCCGGACCAGGAGACGCTGGGCCTCACTGAGCATGGGCCAGGGACACACCCGGACCTTACCTGAGCAGGACCATGAGGAGCTGGACCCTCACCTGAGCAGGGCCAGAGACACTGGACCCTCACCTGAGCAGGACCAAGAGATGCTGGGCCTCACCTGAGTAGGACCAGGAGATGCGTGGACCTCGCCTGAGTAGGGCCAGGACACACCGGACCTTACCTGAGCAGGACCAGGAGACGCTGGGCCTCACCTGAGCAGGGCCAGGAACACCGGACCTTACCTGAGCCAGGACCAGGAGACGCTGGACCTCACCTGAGCAGGACCAGCAGCACCAGTCGCTGTGGATCAGCTGCCCCGGACCTCATCCCGTCGGTGCAGGAGCTGCCGCGGCCGTCACGGCGATGATCACGCGGACCACTGCCGGTGCCACAACCGGCCCCGCCGGCCGCGCGGCGACGCGCCGCCCCCGGCGGAGGTCAACGCTCCTCGCGGCGACCTCGGGCGGCGGTCGGAGCCGGCGCCGCCCGGCGCCGCCCGACACTCCTGGTCGCGCGACTCCGGCCGGCGGAGGAGCCTCGTCATCCACGCCGCCAGGGACGCCTGAGTGACCGACCCGAGGCACCGCACAGCGCGCCACGAGGACACTCGGAGTGGACACGGAGCGGGCCGGCAGCGGCGGCGCGGACCGGTCCGGCGGGCCGCAGGCTGGCAGGCGGCCAAAGTACCGGCGGTGGTCGGTAATATCAGACCGGGGGATGCTGCGATGAGTTTGTTGTACTCAGATGGCCAGAGTGCCGGCAGTGGTCGGTAATATCAGACCGGGGGATGCTGCGATGAGTTTATTGTACTCAGATGGGAAAATGCCGTACTGAACCGAGTCCTTAAAGCGAAGAACACTGCTCACGCAGATCTGTAGATGGTGTGCTGGTCTGGTTCACTCAGATTAGAAAATGTTGCGTTGTTGGTCTGGGTCCTCCAGGCTAGCAAACAACCTTGGTCTGGGTTCCTCACACTGCAATACGCCGTGCTGGTCCCGGTCCATTTGATTGCTGGACGCTGTGTTGGTCTGGTTCCTTAGGCCGAAAGACGCTCCGCTGGTCTAGTTTACTTAGACTGCTAGCCGGTGTAAAAGCTTGGGCCACTTTGTCTGGAAGCAGTGTTATTGGCCTCGCTCTCCCAGATGGTAGTCAGTGCATTCATTTCAGTCGCCAGGACTGGTAGACCTTATGTTGATCAGATTTTCTCTGCCTGGCACACACTGTTTTGGTTGCATAGGTTTTAAAAACAAGTGCAACCACCTTCCTCATTCTACCGCGGGAGGCCCGAATGATTGAGACAATGTTAAAAATGTTGTTCAGATCTGTGCACGTTTGCTGGCTATTAACATGCGTTTGGGTGGGGGGGGGGGGGGTAAATTGACCCCCCCAAAGGGTTTCCGGAATGGTATCCAAACGGCGCGGCATAGCCGCACCAAATTTTACATAGCAATGGACCATAGACCACATGGAATTGTGAATTGTCTGACATCAAACATTTGGATATGACTTGTAAGGTCGCTGACCGATAGCAGGTCAAGGTAAGCCCAGGGTTTCAGCGAAGGCAATTTCTCGGCAATTGTTCGGTCTGATCTAACAACAGAGTGTTAGAAGAAGCCATACATCTCTGAGATACCTCCTTGGGCAACACAACAATTGAATGAACACATTACATTGACCTAGGGTCGGGTATGAAGGTCAGTCCAAAGTCAAAACAAATATTTTTTTGCTTCAGGGCTTGTTGTATGTGGTAGTTTCTGGTGCTCATTCCAAATTTATTGATAACAGGAGCCGCATCATACGCCTTCCATGGACTTCTTAAAGGTCAGAATAAGTTACTGATCCGAAGTGACCCAGGTTAGCATGTTGTTTTTAGAAACATACTGCCTAGCGTAATCTTTGTCGCTCATTCAAATGCAAAACTCAAAGCAGTCTTGTAGAATTTTGATCACCATGACGTTCAAAAGGTCAAGCAAGGACACTGACCTTAAATGATCACGTGACCTTTTGCTTAGAGCAGTTATCCAGGTTCCAGGGGCCGTTTGGAGACCAACCTTAAAATTGACCTTATTTGACCTTATCTGACCCGAAGGTCATGACCCAGGAACCTCAAACTTGGCCTAAGTAAGTTCACACATAGGTCAACACACCCCGTAAATTTAGTGTGGCTAGCTCTCTTAGTTCTTGAGATTTCAGGGGGTCAAATTGACCCCCAACCGAGCGAAGAGTATCTAAACGGCCACTCGAGAGCGTGTTAACAGAAATGAAAATTTCAGTGACAGCACTACCTCTTTGGAGCTGGAGACTAGATAAAATGCATTTAACTATTAATTACATAACAACCGCATGTGGTTAAAATTAATTGTTCTCAAGCTGTCTGGAGGAACGCAAAGGGTAAGGCCGAAATCTCACATACGGCTGTCGTCTATACCAAACAAACGAGATTGGAAGTAATCAACAATCGAACATTCATCGAGACGAAAAACGTATAGTCCTGTTGCAGCCATTGCATTGGCAGAATGGCTATCTGAGCGGCTAACATTCCTTGAGGTGTGCTTGAATTACCCGTAACACCGTGGCTTACCTTTTTTAGTGGCTGCATAAGCTACAAGGCTGTCCGCTAATGAGCAATTTTAGCGTTTTCCCTCATCGGACAAATCTTCCTTATTGGATGGGTGTTAGTCAGAAACGAAATGAAACCAGTCCCCGGACTGGTCCCACCTTCCGGAAATGGCAGTGCTCGGTAGTCAGCGCCTTGAAAAGTGAGCTCTCTCATGTTCACATTCACGATATAATGGATCGATGTTTGGCATTGGCAAAGGCGACAGTTCGTGTCAACCAGTTGCTGAGTTTCAAGACCCTACACTTGCCAGAATACGATAAATCCATTGCGTGTCATGTCCTAACCATCATTTCAGAAGCGTGAATGTAACCGGACCAGTCCTATCACGAACGAGGTAGTGTGAGGAATGTCGTTTCCCGTCAAAAGCGGATGCAAACCGTATGCTAATCAAAAGCTACGGTCATCCCGAAGCCAATGGTGTCACTTCTGATGATGTATGCTTAATCATTGCTCTCCGTCATATTTTACCGGTATATAGCTATATACATAATATACATATATATATATATATATATATATATATATATATATATGTATATGTATATAGACATATATGTGTAAGTATACACATAATATATTTATAAGTATACGTATATATATATATATATATATATATATATATATATACAGCTTCTCAAATGGCGGTGTAGGCATTAGTCAGAACTGAATGCCCACGTTGTGGGGCATTGGTTATCATTGTCAAATTGCAGCAATTAGCTGGCATAAACGACCGCATTAACCAGTGTCAGATATGAATCAGGTGCACCGTGACCTTGGAAGGACAGTTTTCAATCCATGGGTCAACGTGTGAAGTTGTTCGTGTACCTTTGATTGGGTGATATCTGAGATAGTTTGAAAGAAAGTCTACCGGGTCGCGATTTTCCAATCCTTGTTCAGGCATGTCAATCCTTGTGGGTAATAAGACCTTCCCCACAAATGTCTCGTCATTTTCTCGCCAATTGCGCTGCGCTTACACTAGTGCTAGGCCGCCGGCGAGAGAGATGCTATAATTAGGCTAAGGATTTTGTTGAGCTTATAACTACGTGTTTTTGCTTCTGCTTTGGCCCATACATTACTTGACCTGGCACGTCCCTTTCATGTCGGGTCGCTCGGCGTTGGAGATATTGAACAACAGGTGGAATCGTGGGGCGAAGTCAATCTGATGTATCACGGAATGACTCACAAGAAGTGTAACTCTGGTGATGTGGTGGTGGCTATCAGGCCTTGCGACGCGGGACTAGGATCTTTTCTGACAGAGTTCCAGGCACCATTGACAAAGTCTACGCAGCGAGAACAGATCGTAAACCCTACAAACACCTAGGAAAATGGTTTTGGAATACATCATGCGGATGTTGGTTGATTATAAATGCTGGCTGAAGTCCTTGAGCGGACAAAAATAAACTATATCAACTGCGTGCCGACATATCCACTAGGCTACACGCTGACATCGTGATAAAAATACTGCTATTGGTCACAAGATTCCACTGTCTATGGTGATGAAATGAAAATCCCATAGCATTATAATTTCAGTTAATTACAATTAAGTTTCAAAACAGATAGCGAATCTTAATTGGATGACACCTGTGTGCCAAAACTACGCTCAATCGTGGTGGGGGGGGGGGGGGGGCGGGGTTGTAAACTAAATTTATTTTTTAAGGTGGGGACATAACTCAACATTTTTGGGTGGAGACCCTTCTTACGTGCACCGCAGGCGTTCGAAATACTTTACATGGCAAATGGCATCATATGCTCTCAATCTTTTAATCTAATGGTGTGCATGTGTTTGCTTTGATATTTCGAACATCGTTATTTATTCACAAGCATATATTTGATTCATGTCAAGATGTGATTTGGGGGACGTGTTCACGGTGCCCTCTTGAATACGCTCTTGAGGACTAAAGTCCCCTAACCCCCCCCCCCCCCCCCCGCGCCACCGCATGCGTTACAAGAGACTAAGAGGTGGACTCAGTGGCTTTTGGCGTAAAGGCGAATCGGTCGACGCACCAGGCACTGCAATTATGTGCATGCTTCGCTCTCAGTCTTTGGTAGTTTCTAAACGTCAAACTTCTCACTGCCCAGTCAAATCAGTGCACCTTGTATGTTGGGAAAAGTTTGTCTAGCTGTGCCAAGTTTGAAGCCGAGGATCGTCGGTTGCCACGGAATATGAATATCGAGCTCCACCTAACGTTCCACATGAGATGCTACCTAAGTTACAATGCCGGGCCTGACACCAGCAAATACACCGTCATTCAAAGCCACGACTGGTGGACAAACGACCGTATATTCGCCAGCCAGCTGGATCCCGCGGCGGCAGCGTGCGGTGAGCGAGCCGGGACTGCCGGAGGCCGCGGAGGGCCGAGGCTATCCGTGATGCGCTGCTCCCACCGCCGGGTGTTAGCCATCCTGGCGCATCTCGGCTCTTTGATCCCCATTACCGCACGCGTCAGGGTCAGGGGGTCACCGCCGGGACGGCCTGGACAGGCGCTCGTCTCGGGCGTCAGGGTCAGAGGGTCAGCGCCCAGACGGCCTGGACAGGCGCTCGTCTCGTACCGCACACGTCAGGGTCAGAGGGTCAGCGCCCGGACGGCCTGGACAGGCGCTCGTCTCGTACCGCACACGTCAGGGTCAGAGGGTCAGCGCCCAGACGGCCTGGACAGGCGCTCGTCTCGTACCGCACACGTCAGGGTCAGAGGGTCAGCGCCGGGACGGCCTGGACAGGCGCTCGTCTCGTACCGCACACGTCAGGGTCAGAGGGTCAGCGCCGGGACGGCCTGGACAGGCGCTCGTCTCGTACCGCACACGTCAGGGTCAGAGGGTCAGCGCCGGGACGGCCTGGACAGGCGCTCGTCTCGGACATCACAGCGAATCGAGACATGTTGGAGAGACCGTAATCTGGGAGCACTGTGAAGTCCCCCAACTGGTGAGGCGAAGGGATATTAGACGTCACGAATACAGATGAAACTGCCAACAGGCGCTTCCTGGTGAGGGACGTTTTTAGTGTGGGCCTTTTAAACTTCAGGTTTATATGCTGCCTCTATCTTGTACTTCTATAAACTATCCAGCGGTCAGAGCCTCCCAATTAAGCATTTAGATAACCTCCGGCCACGCAGTTTTGTAGTTCATCGCACGTTGTCCATCAGAACCGCAGCATCAACCCAAGCCGGTGCTCAGCATTCGCCGCCGTTTGGCGGCGCACGGTATTGGCACGGTATTTGCGGGTGGCACATCTCGAACCCCAGCCGTTTCCACGCCCAATGGCCAGAACAAAAGCAAAAAAAAAAAACGGGGAGCAGCCCCGTGGCAACAATTCATGCCATTTTGCGATATCCCTTACATTAATCTGTAAGCTTCGACTATAAGTAGTGAACCACGTTTTTGCTGTTCATGCATATCAAAGCACTGGCCTATCTTCGCGTATGGTCGCCGAGTGAAGCCGAAAGTGCACCATTTACACGCAAGGGTTGAGCTTACCAGAGGTTGCCTCGTGCCGCTCTGCATTTGCGTCTAGCCAGCATTGTATTTACGAGCTTGATGTACGCCGATTATATTGGTTTTGGTATATTTTTAAAAGTTATCCGCGCTTCTGGCAATCTGACGGGCTTGCTTGGCGTCGCGTTGGCGTTCAATGATCACTGAATCACCACTTTTAGATCTTAGTCACTTTTGGTCGTGATGTGACGGGCTTTAAGGCTTATGCAGGGCAATTTTCAAGGTTGGTTCAATGCGATCTTTCGGTGACTTTCAAGACAAAGCTCGCGCTCGACTTTCAGAACGTCCAGGGGTCGGTCGTCAGTTGTCGCATATGCAGGGTGTCCCAAATGTAGTGATACTTTGTTACAGTCGTGCAAATCCAGCGCAAACTAATGCAGACATTGCAGCCAGAAAGCGTGGGATTTCCATGTGGTCAGCAATGCTCATCAAAACGAGCGGCATCAGTTCAGAGGGACACAGAGCGCATACACGGTTGTCCTCTCGAAAAAGAAAGTTGAATTGCAAATTTGAATTTCACATGTGCTCTACGGTGTTGATTGCGTTGAACATTTTACTTTGGTGAGCTGAAGGTTCACCAAAGTAAAATGTTCACTAAAATGCCGGTGGGTTTCCTCAAAGATGAATGCTGCGACCATCTTCACAGCTGCCTCCATGTCCTGCGCTGTCATCGGTTTCGTTTTGAAAGCTTGGTCCTTCGTCTGGCCACGGAGGAAACCGCACCGCAGAGACGAAAACAAAAGCGGTCTGGGAACCAAACGTTGGTGACCCATTGCTGGCTTGGTTTGTCTTGACCTCGGACCAGTGGACATTTTCATCCTCGCCGCCTTGCTGCCCACGAACAGAGCGCTCTGAAAGTGTGGGTTGAATGCATCAAGGTCGAGGTACTCCGTGAAAATGCACTGGACTGTCGACTTCGACGTGTTCCAAGTCGACGAGAGCGTCGACTTGTCTTTCGGGTAAACCTCCACCGGCATCTTCACCAAATCAGTGTGTCTCGGACCAAACTGGCGGCCCGCGGGCTTTGGGAAGGCCGGGCAGACCCACTCCTCGCACTTGGGCACAAATCACAGAATTTCCTGATCGGTGTGTAACTGTCTAAACTCTGCGAGAGGCGTTCAGCCCGCAGTTGCAGAATTCGTTCGGAAACAAAAATATGTGAACTTGTTTGCGGCAAATACTGTGAAGTACATTATGGCTGAAGGCATGTAAATGGTGAACTGAAAAACATTCAACTTTTAGGTACCGCACAATACTGTTGACTTTGACTGCACATTTTGATGCGACCTTTTCCAAAACGCGTTCCTCCTTCCGGGACACCCTGCATGCATCGCCACAACACCGCTTGAATAAGATCTCCCCACACCTAGTCCGTGCTTTACCAATGACCTTGAAAGCACGTTGCTCGTTTGTCAACAGGCATGTTACATAAGATTCATAACGCCGTCCATGATGCCGGAGATCACGGCACCATGACATCATCACGCCGCTAGTTCGCCATTCCAGAGCCCACTTCCAGACAGAGCCGATTCCACACCCCCATTTATTGGCATTAGGTCAATAACAAAGTGCCTCTAAAATCATGATCATAATTAATTCGTGGGAACGTATTACATCGACGTGGCGCAACACCAGGGAAGCCGAGTTCAACACCATCCGGCACCACTCACACCCCATCCGAAACACACGAGCTCCCGAGCACCCCTGGCTGACTATGCGTGCTGCACCAGCACCACATAAATATACCTGAGAGGAGGTATTTAAATAGACACGCCACGGACAGAGCTGCCCCCACGTGCGCGCACAACCGGATGTCGGCCGCCGGACTGCACTGGGAGCTCGTGCGCTTCGGCCCAGGACGGATGTTCCCAACGGCTGCACTGGGATATGAAATTTTGTACTGGGCTAAACGACTGGGAAAGGAACACAAGGAGCAGCGCGAGCCACACCGGCCCGCCGCCACGACGCGTCTCGAAAACATCAACACGGAGCACGCTACACGGGCGACGGGCCCCGACAGGGGACAGACACGAAAAAGCCAGCCAAGTCCGGGGGTCGCCAGAAGGGCGGATTCGTCTGATCGTCACCGCTACACACGCGGCCGTCACGCACGCACGCACGCACGCACGCGCGAGCGACCCACTACCGTCTATGGGGGCCGGGCGGCGGCCTGCCGCGCCCTCGCACCGCCGGACGCCCACAGCGGCGCGGCGCGGCTCTGCCAGGCGGCGCCGGTTACGCGCCCACCAGTTTCTTGAGGCCCTCGGTCGACATGGACTTGGGTCGCTCGAGCGGCAGGCCAAGCGCCCGGTCCCACACCAGCGAGGCCATGACGCCGAGCGCGCGCGACACGCCGAACAGCACTGTGTAGTATGACATCTCGGTCATCTTGTAGTACTGAAACGGACGACAAGGCTTGGTCATGTCAGGAACGGGGTCGGCGTACGGGGCGCGGCCAGCCGGCGCCTGACGCTCCGGCAGTGGTCCCGCCGCAGCGTGGCGTCAGGCACCTTCGCAGAGCGACACCCAGCCGTGACATATCTGATGAATCCAGCAGCAGTGGCCCTCAAACATTCCTCCCAGATCACCACATCCGGCGCCTGACGCTCCGGCAGCGGTCGCGCCGCAGCGTGGCGTCAGGCACCTTCGCAGAGCGACACCCAGCCGTGACATGTCTGATGAATCCAGCAGCAGTGGTTCTCAAACATTCCTCCCAGATCACCACATCCTGCATAATTTGTTTGGGCGAGCTAAATACAGCAAGCTACCATGGTAACGCACGCCATGTACCGACACCTACCTCTTTTTCGTATATTCCAGGTAGTTTCGGTTGATTAATGAAATGCGTGATGGACCGGCACAGAAGCCGAACCTCAACACAACGCGCCTATCCCCACGGAAACAATGCGTGAAAAAGTCCACCACCAGGCAGTAAGCCCACCCTAACTCGCACCGCTATGTGGCCGTGCGGAGCCTAATGTCCCCACACCGCCACGCCCGCAGCGACACACACTGCATGCTCCGGATGTCCGGCCGGCCAACTGCCGCGCGATGAGGGCGGCGGATACTCCGCCCGTTTCTGCCGCCGAGGCCCCGCACCAATCAGCGTAAGCATCCGAGTGAAATGCTTGGTTCCGATGATGAATTGCTGGAACATTGCCCGTTCTTTTTTAAAGCTTTAACCCGAACCTTTCGAGTGTTAGATAGACCAGATACCCTGCGCTCATGTTATACAAATAAAGCCGAAAACAGCCGTCAATGTACATCGCTTCGCAGCTCCCCCGCCTTCGGTGGTGGCATGCAGGGCGTCAGATACCAGCTCTTGATGTTCGTGCGGAAGGACGAGGGGAAATTTCTAGTCGCATGTCAGTTTTGGTGAGTTGACAGCGCTCCTGTTGGATAATGTGTCACTTCTTTGCACCCTTAACGGTAATGAGCTCGTTTTGCCAAGTTTTCCTTCTGGTCCTATCACAATGCAGAGTGAGCGGAGTGCGCAGACCAGAGCGCACAGCCGAAGACGACATCCAGCGATCGCCCGTCCCGCGAGGTCCTGGAGTGAAGCCGGCGTACCACACCACTCACCTGCAGCAGGCAGCCGGAGTGGGCGTCCACGTTGGGCCACGGGTTCTTCACCTTGCCCGTCTCCATCAGGATCGGCGGCACCACCTCGTACAGCTGTCCCACCAGCTGCAACACGACGACGGCCGCTGCACGTCACGACGGCCAACGGTCCCACGGGAGCGGGCAAACGTGCACTGGTGCCGCGCCGCGGAACGCACCGGACCAGTGGTTCCTCAGCAGTCGCGTTCAAAGCAACGCGATCAGCCTATCACACAATAACGCACGACTGACCGGGACAAAAATGGAACGCAGACTCGAGGGTATATTGCAGAACCAGATGGCTGAAGGCCAGACACAACTTTACGAGATTACACTTGCTCTTTCTCCTAAAAATGATATGCTAAGACCGGCGAGACCACAATGGAAGAATCAGCAGCAGCATCACATCACGACGGCCTTGGCTTAGCTCACTTTCGCAGCGTCATTGCCACTTCTAAAGCGCCGGCTTAATCTATCATTAGTGCACCAGCTATCGCAAGAGAAGAAGCTACAAGATGATTTTTTAGCAAGCGACTCCCACCTTGAACAGGGGGTCCTTAGGCAGGTGTTTGAGGGCGAACTCGCGCTGGCAGGTGTAGCGCGGGTCGGTCTTCCGCAGCACGGCGTGGCCGTAGCCGGGCACCACCTGCAGGCACGAGCGGGTCACAGGTTACGGGTCGCAGGCCACGGGTCACGGGCCACAGGCCACGGGTCACGTCACTGACCGTCAACGGGGGCAACAGAAGGTCACGGGTCACGTCACTGACCGTCACCGAGGCAGCAGCACGTCAAACGTCACGTCACTGCAGACACAAGGGCCTAAAACACAACCTCGGCCTAAAGCCGAAACAAGCCACAAGGGCCCACAACATAACCTCGGCCTCAAGCCGAGACAAGACACAGGGTCCACCACACAACCTCGGCCTCAATCACTTGAAACATGATTCTGAATGGCAGCACCCCACTATCACCAGTCCATTTTCCGGGGTGGGGGGGGGGGGGGGGACAGCCTTGCAGCACGCTACCCCCACCTCCTCCACCTCCCCGGGGGACCACCCACCTGGCCCGACTTGAGCGTCTTGTATATGAACTCCTTAAGCTGGTCGTTGGTGACGTCATCGCCCACCTCCTGGCGCAGCCGCGTCACCCACACGAGCACCTCCTGGTTGGCGAGCCCGTGCAGCGGGCCGGCCAGGCCGTTCATGCCGGCGGCGAACGAGAGATAGGGGTCGCTGAGCGCCGAGCCCACCAGGTGGGTGGCGTGCGCCGACACGTTGCCGCCCTCGTGGTCGCTGTGAATGGTCAGATAGAGGCGCATCAGCTCGGTGAAGTCGGCGCTGTCGTAGCCCAGCATGCGGCAGAAGTTGGCCGACCAGTCCAGCTGCGGATCGATGGCGCCGATGCTGCTGCCGTCGCGGTAGAGGTTGCGGTAAATGGTGGCTGCCACCGTCGGCAGCTTGGCGATCAGGTCCATGGCGTCCTCGTAGCAGAGCTCCCAGTATTTGGTCTTGTGCACGCCCTCGGCGTAGGCGCGCGCGAACTTGGACTCGGAATTGAGGGCCGTGATGGCGGCCGAGAACTGCGACATCGGGTGCAGGTTGGCCGGGAAGTTGTTGAGCATAGTGACCACGTGCGAGGGCAGGTCGGCCCGGTCGGCCCATTCCTTCGAGACGGACTGAACCTGCGGGACAGAGGTCACGGTATTCAGTGGCGCCGCTCACACCTGGACGGCACGGGTGACGTCGCCGGCTACACAACGCCATCACGCACCGTGCATAAACGAGGACAAGCACCGCGCAGCCTCATGTCGCGCGATACATGCTTCAGCAGGCAGGACAGTTTTGTGAAGGCATGGCCGGACGCTGCGGGTTCGACACATAAAACACGGCTCTGACTCCCCTCACAGACCACCTTTCTTTCTGCCGGGCCTCTTCAAGTACAGCAAGATTAGCTGTGAGCCGCCGCCATCGGCTCGGTGACGGCAACTGTTTCCGTATCTGATCACCGCACACGGATATGGGCGGCCCAGTTATCCCGAACGCTTGCACGGAGCCAGCAAGTGAGTAAAAGCTTGGCAGCGAGTCAGACGGGCTCAGGAATAGCGCCGGCTGTCGCCCTTGGCAGCAGTGGGCAGCCAATCACGTAGACGAAAGCCGTTGACCTAGAACATGTGCTGCATCAGCTGGTATCGATGTACGAACCCGGAGATGGTTACATCATGTGGTTGCATGATCTCCATCATCACGTCCACATTTTTGTTTTCCATGAAGAGTACAAGAATTTGGGAAATCCGATTAGCCGTAACGTAGACCAACGGCGGAGTGATCTGCCTTGTGCTACAATGCAAGTCGAGCACGTCCAGCCTCCGCTGCCCCCTCTCCGCGCCGTTTTAACTGATCCTGTACCTTTGTGTGCAATTAAAAAATACGGATACACTTTTGTCTTGTTCTGGCATTCTAATTGGGAGCCTACGGTCATAGCCATGTATGAAACTGGCGACTTTAGATTGTATACGCAGCCTGGTATTGAAATATTAAAACCGGTATTTCCAAAAGTTGCCTGACAACATGTATGCGGCTGTTGATACGCCCGACAACCTAAAGATTTAAATGTAGTGCATCGTGTAGAGTTGCGACGTGCGAGAATATCAGCAGTCCAATCCGCCGATAGGAAGGGGGACTGAATGACCAGTGGCAGTGTACCTAGGCCGTTTCAACAGATGGATTGGGACGATAGCCGGCTGAGCTCCGGTGAACTGAATGGTATCGAATGATGCAACCGCGACCAGACGCCGGAGTACGTCCGCTACCAGCTATATCTGCATCTTATCCAGGGCATACACAGACATCTGTACCCCGCATGCGGACAGCGTCGGCTCGTTCTCGAGTCTCCGTACCCCGGTGCGGCGGTAGACGACGCCCGGTGCCCCGTGCCCACCCTCGTCCCCGTGGCACGTACCTGGGCACCGGTGGGCACGTCTCCGGTGAGCAGCAGCCAGAAGAGGCCCTCGGGCAGTGGCTCCTCGCCGCCGGCGGCCTTCGGCAGCAGCTTCTGGCACTCGGGGATGCTGTAGCCACGGAACCGGATGCCCTCCTCCGGGTCCAGCACGGACGTCTCCGTCACCAGGCCCTTCATACCCCGCATACCGCCGTACATCTGCCGGCAGGGGTCGAAGGTCAGCTCCACAACCCCGCACGGCTGGGGACGGGCCGACTCGGTCGGCGACAAGCGATAGCTGGGGACGGGCTGCCTTCATCGGCCACCCACGGAAACGGAACGTAAGACATATGTTGGACAGTCGTGATTGATCCTGCAAAGGATAGCACGAGGCCATTACGTTTGGTGGTGCCCCTCGCAATGCCAATGTCGCTGTTAAAAAGCTCAACAACAAACATCTTTCTGCAGAGTTATTTATTACCGTAACTCACGTCAGTTGCTTCTTAAGGTTTCAATCAACGAAGGATGCAGTGTTCGGTGTCACAAGGACAGATCGCCTTAAATACACACAATGCCCGCGGCCCACACCTGCCTGACCCACCGCTGCGTGGCCGAGCGCTACCGCCGACTCACCATGTCGACGGTGATCTCGCCGACCTTGGTGCCGCCATGTTGCTTACGGAACTCCTTCACCTCATTCTGCACGAGGGGGACCTTCTTGGCGAGCGCCGCGCGCAGCTCCGAGTCGCCGCCGGTCGACATGAGCCGGGCGCAGGCGTACGTCGGCGCCACATGCTGCCGGACAGGGGGCGGGGCGGGGTCAGGGTACGGTGGACATGAGCCGGGCGCAGGCGTACGTCGGCGCCACATGCTGCCGGACAGGGGACGGGGCGGGGTTAGGGTACCGTTGACAAGAGCCGGGCACAGGCGTACGTCGGCGCCACATGCTGCCGGACAGGGGGCGGGGCAGGGTCAGGGTACCGTCGACAAGAGCCGGGCGCAGGCGGCGCCCAGGTGTGACAGGTGTGCTCCGCACTGGGTGACCCACACAAGTCGAGGGTTGGAGCCGCGACGACGTGGGGGGGGGGGGGGGGTCGGCAGGGGGGTCGGCAGGAGAGGGGTAGGCCGTGTATGGTCGACAGGGTGGTCGCCAGGGTGGGATTGCCGGAGGGCGGCAAGGAAGGGGGGAGCGCACCGTTAAGGTCCCGGCGTGGACCAAACAGTGGCCCTCATACCAGGCGGGATGGGCGCTCTGAACGCCAACAAAGAGGGACATACGTCTTTAACTCCGATATAGGGCTCTTCACTGGGATACCGCCGTGGCTGAAGGTCGCACACAAACGGCGTTAAACATCATAACTGGCCGTTGGTAAGCACGCGACGTTAATTCCAACCAGAAAGAAGACGGAACGGCAGAAGGCGGGTAGCGCGTCACTCATCAGACACCAGCCGCCAGACACCTACCAGAGAGCCAAATTCAATGTTAACATTAATCTGATCTGCTTAATGGGTGGTAATTCGAAAAACGCCGATGCCTGACACGCTTCGCCTCCATCCCACCGGCTTCAGGGACGGGATACGCTACAAAAAACGAACTAAATAAACGTGTATTACATCTTGGTGGCAAAAAGTGGCGATGTCCGCATCCAGACGACCAGAACGCTTACACAGGTTGAATCAGCACCAGCATTTGAGGGCAAGCGAATTCACATGAACTGTAGAACAGTCGCGCACGACACCTGGACGTCTGGAATAGTTCAGTGTCGCTCTAAGTCACATCTAACGCTTCTTCAGTCGTCTCAGATGCCGTTCGTGTACGAATGACTGAATATCTGCACTCCCCCCCCCCCCCCACACCTGGAAGTAATTGTTATATGGTAATGAACTGGGGTAACGCACAGATTAACGACTGCAGCGGTCTACGTAGCTTTGCGTGAACGATATCTGGGGCGACTTTAGATGAAATCGAAAGGGTCGAGATTTTCGCGTTGGTTGGGTACTACACAACACACACAGTATCTAAGACACTAAGTAAAAACCTGCGTGTTGTCATACTGTAAGCAGATATCGCGGATAGAAATGGTCTGATATCGATGACAAATCACACTGTTACATGTACAGCGGCCAATACCTTTTGACTGACCTGCACCTTCTATCTATTTTTAGTGAGAAATTACCTGCCCTGACAGGAATTCGTCCTCGGGCCGGTCCACTAACATGAAGGATGCAGCGACTGCCTCTGACACAGTCCCTCTTCCCCCTCCCCCCCCCATCCCACCCCGACAGACGTCTGCTTGCCCAATGACGTCCGGATGGACCGTCCCGAAAGACGACCAACAAAACAGCGCCGTGAACGATAGGAATACTGACAAAATGTGACCACATCCCATCTGAACTCCTCACATTCGCCGCAAAATGGACTTGCAAATGAAGTTGCCCCGCACAAAAGCACCCGTAACTGGGCGATCGAACGTCCGGTGAAACTAACATGAAGCCCTGCACCAACCACCGCCGCGCCGTGAAGCAGCAGTGTGCGTGGCACAGTTTCCCGTTACGGATGTCTGTGCGAGGCGGGCGAGCGGACGCGGCCGACCGTGATCGGCCCACTGGCCCAACCGGTCCCGGTCGGCGACCGGTGACAGTTTCGACCATCTCTCACCCCGCCCCGACCCCAGCCCGTTCCAAGGTCTCGCGCCGCTCCGGCAAATGGCGGCGGAGGCCGGAGCGGGCGCGGGCGCGGCCGCGAACGCGCGGCAGCTGATCGCCCGCGAGGATTAGTCTCCGGTGGGCCGCGAGACCCGACACCGAACACGTCCTGGCGGGAGCACTGCACAGCCAGGCTGATGTAACGCGGCAGATAACAGTGAAAGCCTCACCCCCTCCCCACTCCTATCTGGTACAAGTCCAGCAGTCCCTGCTCCCTAGTGGCAGCAAGCATCTGTAGAGGCAATGTCACCAAGGTGGTGTGTTGGGATGACCAATGCCCATTGTCCTTGTTTCCCAGTCAGAACATGTAAACATGTCTATTTCTGCCAAAAACTGTTTCTGCATGATGATAGCAGCAGAGCACCAGATAAATACACAGAGAAAGCTATCATTTTCCTGACATCAAGCCACACATGGCAGCAGAATGCACTCATGTTACAAGATGCTAGGCTTCATATTTGAATGGCATGCAAGCACTGAATTGAATATGGGTATGTCAGGATGAGTCTTAAGCTTAAATGTTGAGTCAATGGTGAGAGTTTCTGATACAGTCATCTGCTGAGGCTACATGGCATCCCCTGCCATCATCATGGTAGAAAGGGATTTCAGACATTCTGACACTTGAGCCCTGTACCTCTGCATTCCTTGATGTACAGCTTTACCACTGCACTACCAGTACCCCTTCTCCAGCTCAAATTGGTCAACTAGTACACTGCAACCACTTCCTAAAATAGGGTTATTTTGTCCAACACAAATATACCTACATCAACAAATGCTAACATGCCGATTTTCTGGGACTGTTAATAGAAATCTTAGTATAAATAGGCATGACAACACATTTCTGTTCAGACCCATCATCATTTGACCAAACCAGATGACATCTAACACAATTTGATCAAACCTTGGCCTAGGGGCATATCATGTTGAGATAGTCTGGCCTACAAGGTTTGCAGAGTTATTGAAAAAACAACAAGCAGGTACTAGCCCAGATGTATGCCTATACCATACAGGTATGTCAGTATCAAACTTAGACATAAAAAGGGCAACACAATATAAAACCTAATGAACACTAATTAAAATTTAACTTTAACACATAAGCCAGCTTAGAAAGACAAAGGAACATGTGCAGCAAATCAGCAATATATATTTTTAGGACTGACTACTTCACCTTGAACTGTTTGACATAATTACTGCAAATTTAAGGTACATGTATTTAATGCAATAACATATTACTAGACTTCCTATGAGAAGTCAGAACTGTATTCCAAACTAGAAGTGCCGGACAATATATTGCACCACATGTAACAAATAAGTATATTATCCCACTGATGTGTGCTTCCATCAAAAGTAGGCCATTTTCAAATAATTGTGGGGGAGGAGGGGCAAGACATCACAGCTTTTTTTACAAACAATAATGGGTTACAGATACAGTTCTGGAAAACAGATTGATAAGCAGCATCCTGTTTAAATATGTGGGTCAACCTAATAATGCTAACTGCTACTGAAGCAGAGGTTATTGCCTGATATGGTCTTATGCCCTGCTTTGTTTTAAAAATTATAGCAGATCACACAGTGCTAGCTGGATAACTATCCAGAACAAGAATTGACTTTTTAGATTATGTTCATATCTATTCTGTAATGGCATGAATCACATCCTGTGCCAGACCTTTAAAAATCTCAAACATTAAAATGGTTTCACGATGGCAGGACATGCTTTTTGGCCTATCAGCAGCGTTGAATGATGGTGGGATACTGGGTGTTCTAACACAGAACAAAATATTTATGCTCCCAGCTCAAATCATGACCCTATTATGATTGAGCATAAGCCCCAAAGCAAATATGTCCCTAAAATGATCACACATGGAATTAATAAAGGCCTATTGTGTAGCTGCCTATGCAAAATGGTGCACATGAGACCTCACACAATCTTATTAAATTGTTAGCCACAACTTAGATCCGAAAATTATTCTTAATACTATGTACTGCGCTCAACGCGTAACTAATAAAATACATAACTGGCGCTGCAAACACAGCTGAAGCAAAGCGCTCAGCTCCAAGCAAATACCATTTTACCTGAAACTTCGACAGAAGTGGTGAGGTAAATATTTTGCTCAGAGCCATTGTTCGGGCGGCCTACGAATCAAACGGCTTATTCAACCAGATGCAGGGCAGACCCACAATTCCCGCCGCTCTCCGCTCCAAGGCACCGGGAGCTGGTACCCTCGACAGCGTGAAAGGAAAACCTGTCACGTGATCAACACTTTGCTGCCAATTTTCTGGCAGCTATTTACTCGGCATTCTAGATTAGTCTAGCATTTTATTCGACGCTTTCACCGCCATCTGTGGGAATTCATGAGGGGTAAAATAATTCAATAAATTGATCTCATCCAAGCGTACCCTAATATCAGAACAGAGGGACATATTTTCGGCTAAGCGACTTAATAGACAATAGGTCAGAGCCAGAGCGCCCAAATTCTTGGCTGCTCTTCGCCCTCAGCCAAACCCTTGGCTCCTCAGTCACACGTTAGAGTTACCACATTGGTGCCAATAGTACCGCAGGGCGCGAGTCTTGGAAGCGCGCTGGGCTGTTTTGATCTTGCTAGCGAAGTCACGTCACTCCCCCCCCCCCCCCCCCCCCCCCCCCACACTCGAGGAGAGGGACAAATCTCGACAAGTGTCGCTCCTCGGCCTCTCGCTTGGGCTGGCCTGCCGGTCACCATCACAACGGCACCTGTTCAGCTTCTCGACCACGTCTTTGACCGATCCTCACTACCCCTTCGTTACTGCGACGCTGCCTCCGTCCCTGCCGCCAGAGGCACCGCGGCCGCGGCCTTGCTTTGGTCGGACAGGGGACGCGGCAACGGGGCCGGTTGGCTGACTGCAATTGAGGCGTCCCAGCGTCCAACAATCTAAATCGAGACGTCTCCCAGCGCGCACCCCCGGTCCGTCTAATCAGGGCCCGCCCGCGCCCACCCGGCAAACGCTCCCAGCGGCAGTCAGCCTTCGCCCCTTCACGACCGAGCCATGCGTGAGGGTCTCTGAGACTATCAGGTGACCAGCCTGCCCTGAGCACTCTGCTAGCCTCTATTGCCAGTCCTGAATTCCCTTTCTAGCCATTGGCTGTGACGGTCGTAGGCAATAGAGGTGCCCACGGCAGGACGGGACGCATGGCAGCGTGTCCGTCGTGAATTTCGTTTTTTTGTGAATGCTTCTCCTGGCAAGACACGTACCTGGTTCTCGATGCTGGTTCCTGGTTACTAATTCTCTCCCTGAAGATAAGACTTGTATCCTGGTGCCGGGTGGTTCTTTCATTAACACAGTCTTCTGGTTCTTAGATCACACTGGTGGCTTTGCAAACGCCACAGTCTGGTTCCTGGTTCTCACTGGTTCTTCAGAAAATACGCATTCAAACTGTTTCATTCACAAGTATCGGAACCTCTTCCAGAACCCGAACCAGGGCCATCGCTAACCCGATCGCCGGCCGGGACGGTTGACCCCGCTGAAATCTCTGGCTCTTAGCCATCAGCTGCCTGCGCCTGTCAGTGGGCACAGTGAGCGGGGCGTGAGATGACGACTTACGTGACTTTTGAAAGGTTGTGGGCGACATGCACAAGATGATGATCGAGGCATGACAACAACAAAAAACGCCGTGGACTGCAGTCAGGACCTCGCGTTTGCTAAGGAAGTAGGTGCTGGCACCGACCATCTAGAGCATTGATTCTGAGGTCGTCGCAAAGCGGGACGATGGGATCTGGGAGTTGCGACGAGAGCAGAGAGAGGTGAAAGACGAGCTGAACTCTCTAGATGAGTATTCGTAGTGTGCGTGCCCGAACATCGCTTGAGACGTGCCTGAGGCTGCCGGTGAGTGCATGGATCAGCTTGTCCTGAGCGTGCCAGCGGCGGCCGGGGTGGTGCTTGCCCCGGCTGACATTGACCGCAGCCGTCCGGTTTGCCGACAGCAGAAGGGTAAGCGCCGATCTGTCATCGTGAAGGTAAAGCTGTGATATGAAACTCTGTCATCTATGTATATGATATATACATATATATGATCTAAAACATCATATATATGATCTGTTATCGTAGTAAAGCTGATACTCTGCGCGCTGCCCGTAAGGATCTGAGATCGGCATGGTTCAGTTAAGCTGCCGAAATGATCGAGGATATATCAATCTCGGGAAATTTGGCGAAGGCAGACCAAAATGTCCTGTTCGGCAGCGAGTCAGCTCAAGAGGCGAGGCAAGCTGCACTCTGTCTGGACCGACAACCGCAGGGTGGCTGTGCTGGTGCAGCAGAACGGACCATCCAGTCTGATCCGGACTGTGTCCGATCTTCGCCAACTGCTGCGAACGAGCCTGAGCTCAGCGCCTCGACGGATCCTGTGTGTGGCTTGGGGACGTACCCGTACCCAAGCCACACGCCCGGCCGAGACCGTCTCTGCCGGCCGTGTCTGCGCTCAGAACGCACCTGCGCCCAAGCCATGTACCCCCGGCTAAGGCCGCCGCTCTGGAGGACGCTCTTTTCAAAACACAACAAAAATGAAATCACAGAGTAGCATGTTAAACTTTAAAAAGTCGTGCCTTTGCAACCCAGTTTTGATGACGAACAACTAATTGTCTTCTTATGTTTTGCTTTCTTGTTGTTGACGTACTTATAAGTTAACGTACTTATAGAGATGCCACCACATCCGCGTATTTTGGGTCTAAAGGCAACTTTATAAAACGACCAATTAATAAGCATCTTTTAAATGGCAACTGGCAAACTTATAGGTCATGCATAAATATATATATATATATATATATATATATATGTATATATATATGTCAATAATGATAGCTATATTTGCTGTAATTTTATCACAATCGTATGGAAAGATATCAAGACCCCGCATTCAAATTGCCGCCGAAATTTCAGATGGTTGGACGTCAAAAGCAACCCTTCGTTAATGGAGTTGGCATGGTAAGACCGCAAAAACTAAGAGAAGGAGAAATTGGTGTCGATCACTTATGAAGGTATGCAGTGTACTTCAGGGCCCTCGCACCTGGAACTGGACCTCTGACATCACCAAACCACTGATCTTTTCTATATTTGAGAGCTTGACTTAACTCCGCCGCTAGAAGTCTTGTCACAAGACCATATCTTGACCACAGCGTAACATTAGGGTCAAGCTGCAGTATACCAGTCCAGTTTTGGACTCGTTTGAAAGCTTTCTTCCGTACTTGTTTTCCACGGTAACGGGATGTCCACCGGCCCATGACAGCATATGTTCGTCGTGCATACATAGTGGGGCATCTGTTAGCATCAGAACGCCCCATTGAAGTGAGGCGAACAAACATGTAAAACGACAAGCCGGACACGCCCAATTTTGTGTATACCAGTATAATAAAGGGCATCAGGACCGTGTTTGCCCTTACCGCCAGTTAAGAACAGGGAGCTAAAATCGCTTTTGAACTAGGGTGGGAGTGAAAAATTCCATCGCAAAAAGACCGTGCGGGAGTGAAAAAATCAATTCACAAAAGATGGAACTTATGAGCTCGTGACTGATGCTTCAGCAAACAAAGACATCAATTTCAAGTTGGCATGGACGTAGTATCAGGAACTTGACAGAACTATTTCGTTTTGTAACACAGTAGGCTATTAAAGTGAAACAGAAGACGTTAACACACGCTCGGTTGGGGGGCGCAAATTGCCCCCCTCCCCCCTGAGGGCTTTTCCAGAATGGTCTCTGAACGGTGCGGCGTAGACGCGCCAAATTTTGCGTAGCTGTAGAAAATTGCATAGCGGATAGTTTGACGTACAAATTTTAGATATACCTTGTCAGGTCGCCGACCTATGACAGGTCAAATTCAGCCCATGGTTTCAGCGAAGGCAATTTCTAGGGAATCGTTCAATCTGATACAGCAACGGAGTGTTTGACGAAGACATACATCTCTGAGATGCTTTCTTAGGCACCACAAATGTTGAATGAGCAAATGGCGTTGACCTAAGGTCGAGTATGATGATCAGACCAAGGTCAAAACCAATCTGATATATTACTCTAGGGCTTGCTGTATGGGATAGTTTCTGGTGCTCATTTCGGATTTATCGACAGCAGGAACCGCATTATACATCCTCAATTGACTTCTTAGAGGTCAGAACAGGCCATTGACCTAAGATGACCTGGGTCGAACGTTTTATTTTAGGAACATACTGCCTAGCGTAATCTTTGTCGCTTATTCAAATGCAAAACGCAGAGCAGTCTTGTATCATTTTAGTCACCATGACCTCCAAAGGGTCAAACAAGTTCAATGGCCTCAAATGGGCTTGTGGCCTTTTGCTTAGAGACAGTTTCGTGGGTTCTGGGGGCGCTTTGGAGACCAACCTAGAATTTGGCCTTGTATGACCTTATTTGACTTGAAAATCATGACCTAGGCAGCTGAAACCTTAACCTATGTGAGTTCATGTATAGGTCAAGACACCCTGTAAATTTGGTGTCTCTAGCTTTCTTAGTTCCCGAGATCTCAGAGGGGGATCAAACTGACCCCCCCCCCCCCCCTACCATTCGAGCGAAGGGTATCTAGCCGGCCAACCGGGCGCGCGTTAAAGCATAGTAATTTCATGACAGCATTATGAACATAACAAATTATTAACACCATTAATTTGATGCTGCACTTTTCAATTCCTTTCCACAGCACTTTTAATACAAAACAAAGCAAATGAACTCAATAACAAAATAACAACAGAAAATTAAACAGGTATAAAACACAAAAAAACGTTGGGCTCCAACACAGCCCATCACCAAGTCAAACACAATAGACATACTTTTGGCCTCTGTTAAGATGGAGTCGGGGAAAACAAACATTTTGCCACTGGCTCTTACAAAATACTAATGTTTTTTTCCATGAAAGTAGCCTATGCATAACCTGAACAGGCCTTACATCATCTCATGCTGTATAACCTGTCTATATCACAGCAACAGTTGTGAGTTGCTGATTCTTGCACAACTCCTATCGTTACTTGCCATGCACTTGACCAATTTAACCTAACTTAGAGTAGCCGATATGATGAACATCATCTCAACTCACTTATCTGTTGACAGCAGCACTTGTGATAAAAACATGATATTTAAAGCCAGTTTTTGGCTGGTTTCCACTTGCATTTTTATTCGCTTCATTCGTGTATGCTTGTTGACATCAGACAAAGTTGACAACACACAAATCGAACACTTTAAATGACTTTAAACAGCTTATTTTGGTTGTCATGGTTAACCT